GACTTCTCTGACATAAAAGACAAACGTACTAAAGTAGCAAATATGAATTATGATTTTCAAATCATACCGGACCACATGGTCAACTTCTCAAAAGCCTCTTCTTGGGTGCTGGAGTCCTCCGCCAGGATCAGAGAAGTGTGAGTGTATGGTAAAGGCGATCCCAAACATGTGTTATATTTAAGCACCTCGCAAGTTGAGGTTTTCTTGCAGGTATCCTCAAATATCGTCCCGTTTGGAGAGAGCACTGCCCCGCAGCCAGAAAGCCAGGCAGCCCAGACGCAAAGCATCCCGTAAAATCCAACAATGGGGCTCCAACTCTTGGAAGACATCTTGGGAGGGGAGGGGGGGAGATTCAACTGCGCAAAAAAAGGGAGAAAAATCACTTTGTTTTCTTGTGCTTTAGCAAACTAATGTACCGAAAGACCAAGATTGGTTGCTCTGTTCTTTAGATTTAGGATAGGTTTCCAAAAGCGGCATGGTAAATTTAAAAAAACAACAACAACTAACTTTAAAGTTTTCCCGAAGTCCTTCCAAACTTTTTCATTCTGCACTTCTCATCCGATCCCTTTTGGGTTTTCCCGAATTCCTTCATTATCCAAAATCTAACCGCCGCGCAAAATGTCCTCATGCCTTGAAAACGCGGATGGTGATCTTAGAGCGGTAATAAAGTATCCATTTGTGTCGTTTAAGCTGGATAGGAAAGTTGCAGATTCTTCTTCCCTCCCCCAACTTCCAAAAAAACTTGCCATGAAAAAGTCTGGATCTCTGTAATAGGATCTCCAGCTCACATGCGCCACCCCTTCTCCAAAACCCCCCTCTTTTTTTTTATAGTGGCAGAAAAATAAGGTGATAAATTATCCTATATCTCTGTATGAGTTTGAAGAAGTGTTTTTTCTCCGGGTGAAGTGTCTGATGAGAGGTTTTTGTTAAGTCCCTGTGAGCTGCACTCACTGTCTGCTGGTTGTTGGTTTTTTTTTTTGTATCTCTGGTATGCACATGGTGGGGGAAAGCCAGGGCAACAAAACCTCCCTTCCCATCCCCCTCTGCAAGTAGAAGAATGTGCCTTATGGCAGACCTTCTCAGAGTTTCTCATCTCGAGGACCACCACCCCAAAACAGCACCGACCCTCCGGTCTGACAGGTTAACTCTCATGTGAGAAGGGTTTTGTAATTTATTCTTGTTGACAATGTGAAGGGAGTAAAGATGAAATATTTGCATTCTTTCATCCCCGTGTAGGATCCCAGGTGACCCTCAGACATTTTCAGAGCAATTTTAATTACATTGCATATATAACAGCCCCTGCATAATTCTGTTATGACCTTTTTCATTATCTTTGAATAGGTACAAAATCACAAGCTAATAGGATACACAAATAGAAATAAAAAGAAATATGTATATGTATGGGTATGGTATTTCTATGCATTTTGCAACAACAGTGTTAACAGTGGAATAGAAATCAGGGTTTCTCAAAGTTCTGCTCACAGAGTGTAAGTGTAGAACATCAGCATGTCCAGCATTTGTAATGCATCTTTTCAAAGTATGTATATTGGTAATACAACCCTTTGTTTTTATATTATAACATGAACTGTGGATGAAATGAAGAACAGTGGGTGCTTAAAATGCTTTCTAGAGCAGCCACTTACCTGCAGGTCACACATGGAGAACGTTGGATGTACAGAAAGTGTACGTGCAGGCTGATCTGTGCTGATGACATTTGTTTTTTGGTCACAGTTATGCAGAGTAAACACTCCTTGCACTGGAATGTACATGTGCAGGCATTACATAAGACTTTCTAGTGAAAATAAAAAGTCTTAAGGTGCTCACTAGCCACCTCAACCTTTATTATTAATCGTGTGGGATTATTATTTGTTTACATGAAGGTTTAGCGATTATGACATCGGAATATCTGTGTGTGGGAGAGAGAGGGAGGGGCACGACTCAAAATTAGTTTCCTTTGGGACACTCGTAATGGTCTGAACTTCCTCTTTTCTGGTTAAGGTGGCTATACTGTTAATAAAACCCTAAACACATGGACAGAACTCACACAGTCACATTATTTTAGGCTCATCCACTTATCTTTCTTTTCTTTTGACTATGGCGGGATACCAGAAAAAGCACATACCTGAAAGGTCAAAACTCCACCATGTTGTTGATATTGCTCTAATTGGAGAGTGCACTTGTGGTATTTGGATGACTGCTGATGCTTTGTGTTCTCAGTGAATCTGGGTTAGCTCTGCTCTGTCCTGAATGTGTGTGTGTGTGTGTGTGTAATGCGCGTCTGGGCCTCTTTAAAACCTACAGTAACACGGCTGCCTCAGTGAGTCAGAGGAGCGGGGACCACACACAGAGCACTGGAGCCCAGGCCAACACACACTCACTCCAACTCTCATGTACACACTGACTCACTAACTAGAATAAGAGACACCTACGGAGTGATATACTGCGGTTTGAACTGTCACTTTGTCATCAGTTTATTCGGCATAATTACATAATTTCAGGTGTCTGAAAAGTGCTAATGAAGTGAGAATCCAAGAGGGGAGTTAAACTCACAAAGACATGTCATGTTTAGATTGGGAGAAAAAAAAAGGCTGCTACAAACACAGGACTGTGTGCGCTCCTGAACATCACAGGCAT